GACTCTCTCCCAGTCCCTGAATACAGTGACATTCATTCTGAGAGAAGCTGGGGCAGCTCTTTGAAAGCCGACTTCTTCAGCTCGACAATAACACACAATGAGTTATTGACTTGTTTATATACGGAGCTCTTTTCAGTAACTAACTCTGACTCCCACAGTCTGGACAAATGATTGATTTCGTGGTTAGAAAAAGAGAAAGCTCTCGCGCTAAACTCTGTAGTGCAAACTACTTCTTCTCCATTTGTTCTGTAACTGAATAGGACCTTATTAAAATGCACTTTCCAAAAAAATACCTGCAGCTGGCCTTTATAACCATGTTTTGTATATATAAATAAGTAATTTGTCCCAGTCTTTTGTATATTAACAGACCATTGGGAAACTTGTCAATATATATGAAGGCTGATTATCGTGTTGTTTCTGCTAAAACAGTATTACCTATATTGATCAGCATGTAAAATATGGATCAAATATTTATTAATAGATCAATTAATCTATTGATCTCATGAAAACTTTGGATTTTTTATATTAATAGATTCAGTTTTCTTGTTGGGTCATGTTGATTCATTAAGCACATTTTATATAACACATATCATATACTTCACTTTTAAATCATTAGCTATTCTTAATACAGAGAAAACGACATGCAGAACTATAGTTCAGAGCAATGAGAGTTTAGTTGGACTAAAAGGCTTTTCCCCCTTTGGCTAGTACCTATCTGGAATGTCAATATGAATTAGGTAGACAGAACACGCTAGCTGGTTAAATTACTGTACCTTTTCTAAAGATATTAATAATCGAACTCTAGAGTTACTATAGTATTTTCTCCTATAAAGTAGATTTTTAAAGATCTTAACATGTAGTTAAAATTTTTACACAATCTGTATGATTTTTCTAAGCACACTTTAAAATATTTTGGGGAGAGTTAAAAAGAAAATCCATCATTGGTTAGTGATGCACGTAGGATGGGATCACTGCTGTTTTGACTGTATTTCTCCAGCAGGAGGTCTTGAGCCCGTTTTCCCCTCTAGGATGTCCATAAGAGAGCTTCCTGAGCCAGCAAACATTTGAAGAATTCCTCAAAATTAAGAGCACTTTTAATTATGGTCACAAGGGGCTACATGTTTTAAAAAGAACTATATATTACTAAACTGTGAACCCTTAGGGCTTTGGAGAGGCCACAATGCCTGAAACCTTAGTATTAATAGTTTTAAGTAAACTGATATAGTTTGGAAGGTAACAATCAATGGATATTGTTTCATTGGAATCTGTTACTTCAGGTACATCTTTGTGGATTTTTTCCCTTTAGTTTCTAAACTAACTGCTTGATGTGAATTTATTCCTTTTTATCTTCTGTTTGTCTAACCAGTCCATTTTCCTGAAACAATTTTGTTCAGTTTTCTTTGCCAGAGCCATTATGGTTCTCGTTTCTTTCATTTCAGATGCTGTTCTTGACTAGTTTCTTGATTGTTTTATTATGGTTCCCACTGGTATTGAATGAACCCAACTTCAACCTAAGTATGTATGGCTAATGTTTGTTGCAAGTTTTAAAAATCTTAGCAGCAAGGCCTGACAAAAATGATGAATGAAACCTTCCTGTTTAGCTTCTTAGATTTTCATGTGCACAATGAATACTTGAGGATGCCTTCTTATATTTAAAAGGGACAAGATGTACTTAGAACCAAGTGACTTGATTTCCTCCTCCCCTATATGGTGGGGATTTGATTTTTCAGTTATATGCAAATTTTATCCACCTTTCTGTTTCCAGTTTTTAATTTTTGAAATCTCTACCCTTGTTAACACATGAAAAATTGATCTCAGCAATATCAAACCCATTGACAAAAAGTTATTTCATATATTTTAGATAAGAATAGCGAATCGAAAGCATATAGTTTTATTTTAATGAAGAAACAGGATATTCTCATCAAAGGTGACAGGAGAGAAGAATCCTACCATTGTTACCATGTTGTGGGGTTTAAGGGAAAGATGCTGTTAGCACTGCATATTAATACCTCAGGCTGAAAATGCCCTTTCTTAATTTGACTTTTTACTTTCGGTGATTTCCTCTAAATGCTTTCATTAAAATGTATCTTTTGGAATGCCTTGTCTATTTCCAGAAAAGGCCCCATGTGTGTATCCTTATATTTTGGTGACCATTTCTTTCTTTCTTTTTTTTTTTTTTTTGAGACGGAGTCTGGCTCTGTCGCCCAGGCTGGAGTGCAGTGGCTGGATCTCAGCTCACTGCAAGCTCCGCCTCCCAGGTTCACGCCATTCTCCTGCCTCAGCCTCCCGAGTAGCTGGGACTACAGGCGCCCGCCACCTCGCCCGGCTAGTTTTTTGTAGTTTTTAGTAGAGACGGGGTTTCACCGTGTTAGCCAGGATGGTCTCGATCTCCTGACCTCGTGATCCGCCCGTCTCGGCCTCCCAAAGTGCTGGGATTACAGGCTTGAGCCACCGCGCCCGGCCTTATTTCTTAATATCTTACTGCACTTCCCTTTTGGGATTATGCCGTGATGGTTTTCAGTAGCATCGGTCTGTTTTCCCCCTTTTATGTAGATTAGTTAGTGCTTCTTTAGAAGTTGAATATTAGAGTGGAGGTGATTTTTTTCCAACTGTGGTGCTTTCAAAGGCAAAGAATTCCCACCTTTTAAATAAAAAGTTCCTTGGCAGCAGTTCTAAATGTCATGGCCCCGAAAACGCATTAGCATCGGCCTCACCTGCTGTGGCACCAAAGAGTTTCATGGTTCTGTTTTTGTTTTGTTTTGCTTCCCTTTAACAAAGATCTGCTCTGAAAGTTTTGCATTTGGAAATAAATTTTGTAAAGAATAGATGAACTTGGTAAATATTCTCCAGCCTGGTCCTTCTCTTCTACACCCATTTCCTCTCGAGACGAGAACTCCTCTGATAAACAGATGCTTTAGACCAATATGTTGTGCCATGGTTCACACCTAGGCTTACATGTGTGGAAGTTGAGCTTGATATTTAAGTTTTCATAGCATTAAGGGCTTTTTTGTATCATTTAACCACGGTAACAAATAGTTTCCTTGGGAATCGTTTCACATAATGATGTTTATTGCGGCACTATTCACAATAGCAAAGACTTGGAATCAACCCAAATGTCCATCAGTGACAGACTGGATTAAGAAAATGTGGCACATATACACCATGGAATACTATGCAACCATAAGAAAGGACGAGTTCGTGTCCTTTGTAGGGGCATGGATGCAGCTGGAAACCATCATTCTCAGCAAACTATCGCAAGAACAGAAAACCGAATACCGCATGTTCTCACTCATAGGTGGGAATTGAACAATGAGATCACTTGGACACAGGAAGGGGAACATCACATACCGGGTCCTATTGTGGGGAGGGTGTAGGCGGGAGGGATAGCATTAGGAGATATACTTACTGTAAATGATGAGTTAATGGGTGCAGCACACCAACATAGCGCATGTATACATATGTAACAAACCTGCAGGTCGTGCACATGTACCCTAGAACTTAAAGTGTAATAATAAAAAATAAATAAATAAGAAAAGATTTTTCAAAAACTCTTTATCACTGATTCTCATTCTAGGGCAGGGATTGGCAAACCACTGCTTGTTGGCCAAATTCAGCCTGCCACGTGATGTTATTGTTGTTTTTTAAAGTTTTGTTGAAGCATAGCCATGCTCATATATATGTGTGTGTGTGTATATAGTCTATTTCATGCTACAATGGCAGAGTCAAGTAATTGCTACAGAGATTGTATTCTCCCTCTGCCCCCACAAAACCTAAAATATTTACGATCTGGCCCTTTACAGAAACATTTCCCAACTCCTTATCTAGAAGGATCATCAGAATCACCAAAAGATTCCTGGGCCTTTTCTCTCTACCAAAACAGAATCTCTGATATACTGAGCTGTGTCTCATATCATTGGATGAAGTGTCTACAGGTTTAATACTATTATTCTAGTATATATGCACATCTAGATTCAAGAGATCATATTTTTGAACCTCCCTTCCTCTATTTGATGTCAAATATAGGAGTAAGTCTTCAGGTAGGGTTTGGATTAAAGATTTATGTTCACTCAAACATGATTTTCCAGGCATACAATTGAGAAAGCTTACTTAAAACAACAACACTAACAAAACAAAATGTAAACACATAGTTGTTATTCATTTTCACTCCAATCCTCAATAAGGAAATATGGTATGGCAAGTCCGTTGCTAAAGCATTATTAAATATTCCAATTCAGAGGGTTCTGTATTAGGCTCTTATTCTCTATTAATGTCAGTCTGTTGAGCAAATATTATTTTGGGAGTTTAACATCATTTTTGTTTGAAAATAAGAATTTCATTAAAAAACATAACAATTTCATGTTTTGTATGAAAACAGCATTTGTTTCTATAAGGACTACTTATAAAGAAATACAGAATGGGCCACATTCATTTTTTATAACACATGGGTTAGCAGCAGTAGTGGAAGACCTTTATCTAGCTTTGTAAATGGAGCAGGTTTGAGGTAACTGTTTATGTATTTAGATGCATGATGCTTTGTGATGAAATATCATAAATGATTTAGCACCATTCTAGACTGTTGAACTGACACTTTTGGTTTATGTCATTGACTTCTTATCCCGACATAACAGCAAACAATTTACTCCCTACTCATAATGAAAGGTTTTAATAGAAATATCAACCTAATTTTTTTTAAAAAAAGTTGTGTTCATTTTAATGAAATGCTTTAAAAAAGTACTCATCAGTGTCTAATATCTGCAGTTAAGGACACTCTTGCCCTAAGTCATCTTTAGTAATCCTCAATACAATAAAAGATTGAAAGCAAAAGATTCAGTTTGTTAAATGTTTTAGATATAAAATGAAATTTACAGTTTTTTATGTAAGTATCAGCAAAATTAATATCGAATTGCATTCATGATTATGCTTAACTAGCTGTTTGAATAAATGTCGCTATTATGAGCCAATAGATACCTGCTTTCATGCTGTTTATTTATTTTTTCTAGCTGAACCTGGCCATGAATGAACAGAAGGAAGAAATTACAGAAAAAGTCATTCTTTCAATGACAGCAAAGGAACACCATAAGGAACAGGAAGAAGTAAGGAAATAACTTTCTATATTTTAAAACTGCAGTGAGGGTCATGCGCAATGGCTTACACCTGTAATCCCCACACTTTGGGAGGCCAAGGCGGGCGGATCACGAGGTCAGGAGTTTGAGACTAGCCTAACCAACATGGTGAGACCCTGTCTCTACTAAAAATACAAAAATTAGCCGGACATTGTGGCACGCACCTGTAATCCCAGCTACTCTGGAGGCTGAGGCAGGAGAATCGCTTGAACCCGGGAGGCAGAGGTTGCAGTGAGCCGAGATTGCGCCACTGCACTCCAGCCTGGGCAACACAGTGAGACTCCGTCTCAAAAAACAAACAACCAACCAAAAAACCAAAAAACCTGCAATGAACACTAATTTTAAAATTAAGATAAATTTTACTTTGGTATAGACAGCATGAAAAATAATTGCATGCTTAAAAGAATAAAACAAAGTATAATTTTCTGAAAAAAGTCTCATGAATATTTTCTCATAAGTTTCCTAAATTGGTAAATTGTTACATGCAACTTGAAATTGGAAGTTATAAAACCTACTAACATAGGAAAAACATTAAAACATTTTTTGAATTTTTGATAAATACTAAATCTTGCTGTTATATCTGGTTTTCTAAGAATAGAGTTATTGTTCTGAAATTTAGAAATACCAACAAAGTTATATTTTGTCAAGGGAAAACTATAGTTTACAAATGTTAAGCCTAAGTGAGCTAATCAGAAGATTCTGTAGGCAATATTGTAATGAAGAACAATATTATTATTAAAGCAAACCTTCTTCTCTTCAAAGCTCATGCTGTGAAGTTGACAGCATATTCCATAAATGAAATAATACAAAATTGGTGTTAGACAAAAGCGGAAAATGATTTTCATGTCGTTTCCTGGAATGCAAAGGCATTTAATCTTTCTAAGGAAAGAAAGTGATTTTTCTAATTTCCATGTACTTCTGTCAGTAGAAATCCAAAGTAACTTCAGAAATAAGATAATGTGAATATTTTAAAAATAAACTTCTCATATATTTCTTTTTTGATATTTTGGTAAAGAAATGCATTCAAGCTTCAGGGTTTTGATATTTCTTGTCATTATGATTGCATCTTCCTTACTAGCCATGTGTTTTGTAATAGATGAACAAATAGCATGCACCAAATTTTTCTGTGTAAATTCTATTCTTACATTAGAGACCATATTAGTATTTGGGACATACTTGTCTAGTATTAAAGACTATATTGTAAAAATTGATTATCCATCTCAGTAGATAATATTTCATAAGGAAAATTAAAGTTAAACCATTTCTAAAATGTAATAAATAGCAATAACACAGATTTAAATTATAGTTCTGACTCATTCTCCTAAATATTAACAAGTTACAAGACTAGGTTGTTAATTATAAATTTGAAAAAACATCATTCTCTGTGTTTGAAAAATGTTTTACCAGAATTGGAGAATTTAATTACATTTTCATAGTAAGTTAAAAATGAATCTACCATGTATCTTGGAAACTTTGGGAAATGCAAAGAAGTCTCTCTAGATTAATTAGTATAATTAAAATAATATCTATAGCAATATCAATTATTATTAGAGATTAAATAGAAAATATTGTAAAAGAATAACAGATTAAGTATTTTCTTCCTTTTAAACATTGTAATTATTTTGCCTTTTGATATTTTATGCAAAATTATAATTTCAATGGACTGAAAACTTGAAGTGGCCTTGGAAAATGATCAGCATAGCAAATATGTAATTTTTAATCTTACCTTGTTAGCAACATTGGAAATGAAAATTATCTTTTCTGGAAAATCTAATGGCAATTATGTTTATTTGGTGTTTCTTCTTTGTTATTGTCATCTTTATTTTTTTTAGCACTATATATATTGGTGTTCTTACACAATACCTTATTTAGTCATATATTTGCTTTTTCAGCTCTGGCTCAAAAAGCCTTTTGTTTACTTCAAGTATCAAATACACAGCGAGGAGAATACATATTCATGTATGTGTATGTTTGTGTGTGTGTGTTCATATGACACTTTCTAAATATATTCCATAGTCTCTGAAGATAATTTCTGTGTGCTTACTTGGAAAGTGATTATATTAATCTGGATGTGTAAGTTCTAACTTTTTGTTAGAAAAAATCTAAAAGACTCTTTTTAGAAAAGTCCTTGTTACCACTAACATAGCTCTCTTGCCAGGTGAGTTATCAAGGCATTTAAAATGACACTATTTTCAGTTGTTTCTTACCCCATGAGTGGATGAGGAAGTTAGACTATCGAATAGCTTAAAAAACTTGTGATTAGAAAAAATCTAAAAATTTAGGGCTAAAACATCAAGTCTAATCAACATACAGAGAAAGGAAATCCTGATGGAAAAGAGAAAGGAAAAATTTGGTGGTGAAATTACTTCAATATTTTCCCTATGATTTTTATACAAATACATTCCTGGACAATTCTCAAACCCCAAATTAAATATCATAAAATCTGAGATTTAGATCTTCTGCTGCCTACAGTTTTATCTTAAAATCTTGTTTTATTTCACATAATTTTTCCACATGAAATTTGGGAGTAACAGTAATGTATGCATCATAAAACCACTTTGAGGTGATGATGTATGTTAAAGTACATTAAGCTTTTTAAAATTTTTTTTAAATTTTTTAATTTTAGAGATAGGCTCGCTCTCTGTTACCTAGACTGGAATGCAGCAGTGTGATCATAGCTCACTGCAGCCTTGAACTCCTGGGCTCAAGTGATCCTCTTACGTCAGCCTCCTGAGTAACTGGGACTTTAGGCATATACCACCATGCCCAGCTCATTTTAAAAAGTTTTTGTAGAGATAGAGTCTTGCTATGTTGCCCAGGCTGGTCTTGAACTCCTGGCCTCAAGTGATCTCCTCCCTTTGGCTTCCCAAAGTGCTGGAATTACAGAGGTGAGCCACTGTGCCCCGCCACATTAAGCTTTTTGGAAATTTGCATATGACTTCTTATTATCAGTATAAAAGTGCATTATTCCAGGTTCTGTATCGTGTAGGTACCAAAATGACATTAAATGTGTAGAATGTTATTAGAAGAAATGCCTATGAGAGAAAATGGAGAGAGCACTGGATAAGGCTGAGAAATCTGTCAGACTGAAATGCAGGCCTGACCCCAAATGAGGGAGGAAAGGAAGGTTGGGTAGAAACATCCTGGACCACTGTGAAGTCTAAAGGTTTGGCAAAACTGTTGGTGGATTTTTGAGCCAAACTTGGCCATCAGAGGAGTCCTGTGACTCTCAGGGATAGACCCGCTTTAATATCCTCAGGCATTGGTGCTAACCTGGGGATGGATTTCAGAGCACCATAGATGGGACCCATGGTCACTTATGCTCCTGTAGTTAGAGGTCTATGAGACACAGTGTCATAGCTGTCCCCATAGGTATAGTAGACATCATCCTTGTAGCTATCACCATAACCCCATTGCCAGAAGAGTTATGAAGACATTGAAGTTGTCTATTTTCAATTGTTCCTTCTCCCATGAGTGAATGGGGATGTTAGATTGTTGTATAGGCCTAAAAGCAGCACATAAAGGACCTCTGGCTGAAAATAGGTTAGATCTACCTCCAAAATGTTTCCCATCTCAGAAGGGTTCTAGGAAACTATTAAAAATGTGGTAGTATTTGGGCCAGGTGTGGTGGCTCACGCCTGTAGTCCCAGCACTTTGGGAGGCTAAGGCGGGCAGATCACTTGAGACCAGGGGTTTGAGACCAGCCTGGCCAACATGGTGAAACCCATCTTTACTAAAAATACAAAAAATTAGCTGGGCATGGTTGTGCATGCCTGTAATCCCAGCTACTTGGGAGGCTGAGGCAGGAGAATCGCTTGAACCCGGGAGACAGAGGTTGCAGTGAGCCGAGTCCATGCCACTGTACTCCAGCCTGGGTGACAGAGTGAGACTCTGGGTCAAAAAAAAAGAGAAAAATCCACAAAAATTTGGTAGTATTTGAAGTGCTGGCAATAAGAGGTGCTACGTACTTCAGATTTCCTGGTTAGTTACGCCAGCTCAACTTCCAAATAAAGACATAGTTCACTTTGCTCTCAGGCTCCCATGTCTTTTCCAATCTTCATTCAACAAATCAGGGTTATGTTTCCTTCTTACCCCTTAAAACATTGTATTATTGACCCTGAAACCAAGAAGAGATTTTAAGCAGTTTAAAATACTAATTTTATTTCCCTGCCTCCTTTCTGGTTCAGCTTAAATATGTTGTTAATTAGAAAGTTTCTTGATCTTAAATTGAAGTGCTGACCTGGCTTTGAGACCATTCCATGTGTTACATGCCTAGATGACGTTCCTAGTATAGAGGCCGCCACTCTTTGTGCTGATTTCAAGTGACAGTTCTGTGCAAAGTGCTCTGGAGTTCTCCTTAATAACATGGGTGGATTCAAGCCCACACAGAATTCAGGCTGACAGCTGAACTCATCACTAGAAAAACCAGGAGCTCCTCAAAGAGTCATTAATAATAGCCAATGTACAGTGTTCACAATGTATGGCTCAGAAATGCACAGCTTTAACATGTCTGCTTTTGAAGCCTGATTATAAACAGAATAACACTTTGCTCTGACTATAAATCATCTTGAGAATTGAATTGAATTCAAAGGTTGCATGCATGCACCATACAAACATGATCAAACTGCCCTACATGTTATGCAAAAACCTGTCTGTATGTTTATAGACATGTGCACATTTGTATTCTTTTAGAAGTTTGGGTTTGTTTTCTCACCAGAATATTCAATATTTTTTTGCTACCTTCTGCTTATTTGTCACTCTCCCAAATTCTGTACAAGTATCACTTCCGTGCTGCATTTCCACGGAGAATGAAGAGTCGAATGTGTAGGCTTTCTGCTGCACAATGAGATGGTGCATTTTTTCAGCATATGCATACGTAAGCCTTCTTTTGTGAATGGGACTGATAGGGTCAGATAATGTTTAAAGGGAAAGGCTTTATGTCTCTCAGGCCTCTATGTTTCCACATGGATGCCCCCACACACACATAGATTGAATTATGAACAGACCCATTAATGCTGGGATCACAAAAGGTCAAGTTTTGTCTTCTTTTACCCCTATTCACATTGCCTTTGTAGAGGGAGAAAAAAGGATTTCAGAAAAAAAAGATTCATGATGAAGCATTTTAAAGAACATTTTTTCCCTTTTAGCAATATCTGTGATTTGGAGAAAAAATTATATTATGTAAAATAATTCAGGAGTATTATATTACCTACCTGATTTTAGTGTATGAGTTATTTCATGTGTAGAGTTGTCTTTTAGGATGACATGTTATCATAATAACTGAGAACAAAACGTAACACTTTGGGGATAAAAGACCTTATGAATATGTAAAGTAACATAAAGTTTGAGTAAAACTGAATGGAAACATTATCAAAATGTCAGTGGCAGGATTCTTGATGTATTTTCTCCTGTGTTTAAGATATGTTAATCTTTTCCAGATACCTTGAGAGTTTTAAGTTATTTTTTAAAATCAGGTGATAATTGGTGTAATTTTGTTTCACATATGTTAACAGATTATCCTGGATCCAATAAAAATAGTAGAGAAGGTTTTTGAAGCAACCAAAAATCTATCCCAGATGAAACTTTTAAGACTTTAGCCAATAGCCCTTTAGAGTGCAAATGACATCATCAATTGTATGGTTGGTTGATTTTTGATGTCACATGAAATCCCCTATCAGTGAAAGGCTATAGATTGTGACAGTAAAACCAGTCATGTATAAAAATGCCCTCAAATCAAAGTCTGAGTTTCCTCCCTTTGGTTTTTTTTTATTTTTTTATTTTTTTATTTTTTATTTTTATTTTTTTTTTTTTGGTGACTTGCTATAGCACAAGGTGCAGTACATGAAATTATAGAGAACATTACAATTGAGTAGTGAAAAACAATGCATGATACTTAGTAGACTTTAAAGACTGCATAACATTATATCTTCCCAAATCACATGATGCTGGAGATGGGTGCAGAGAGGACCAGTATTTTTCGGAAATGGAGTCCTTCTATTTAGGGCTTTTGGATTTTAGGTTTCTATTTCTATTTAGGTTCTTGGATTTTAATTTCATCAGATAACCATAAATGCAAGCCACCTTGTCCAGTATTGGTCTTTAGCTTCAAGGATGTTATACACTATTATCCATCGCTTTTTTAGGATAATACTGCTAGAGAGTAGTATGATCTAATGGTGAAGATGAGGCTGAAAGCATAGACTAATATTGGATCATCTATCATTTTCATATTTTAAATGTCACAACTTTCTTGTAGGATTAGCAGTACTATGGAAAGCATGGAAATTCATTCCAAAAAGTAGTAAAAGAAGGATAATGAGAGAAACCTGTCACTGGATTTTATAGCCTATAAATAATATTCTTTTCTTTTTCACATCTTCTTTCTCTTTCTTCCCTTCTCATTTTCCCCAATCACCTTCTCCTTTTAATTTCTTCCCTCCTTTTCTTTTCTTCTTTTCATTAATTTTGTTTTCTTTATCTCATTTTCTTTTTCTGTTTCCTTTAGGATTCCTCCTGACCTCCCTGTATTGTCTCTGCCTTCCATTCCCATGATATCCAAAGTTTTATCCAAATTCCACTGGTATGAGGGGCTTCCTTATGAATAGATAATAGAAATTTCTATAGACTCTCATTTGAATTTACAGTTAAGGGCTGACTCTTAGTAACCTACTATATAAGTTATATAAGACTGTAGAGATTTAGCAGAATGCAATGTGTTTATCAGCTTTTGGTAGATTGTGCTGCATAAGTCAAGGGGCCCAATAGCTGAGTGACTTAAAACAAGTATTCATTTTTTGCTCACCTTACATGTTGGCTACAGGTTGTTTGTGGCTCTCACCAGTATGTCTTTCTCAGTCTGGGATACGGCTTGAAGGAGCAGTTCCTATTGGGACATTACTGTTTCCATGGGGTGGGGTGGGCAGGGGGAAGAGAGTGATGGTAGAATTGCACAATGGTTCTTAAAACTTCTGCTAAGAAGTGGCATATATTACTTCTGTTCATATTTCACTGGCCAAAGCAAATCACATAGGAATTCTGATGTCACATGTATGTCACATAAAATACTAATAGAATTATTAGTAAAGAATGAACAATAAACAGCTGACTTTGATTGAGTGCCAGATGGTAATATCCAGGTACTAAGTGCTGGAAGGTCTGCCAGAGGAAGTGGGGTTTCTGATGAGTGGACTTGGATATAAAAGAAGAATGAGTTATAAAACTATGGCCTAGGCATCCAGGGACATACACTTTAATTTCAGTGCCAGTATTAATTATCTGAGTATCCTCGGCAAATTAACTTTTCTGGGATGGAATTTCCTCATTTGTGAGATCAGAGTGTTGGGTTAAACATTATCTAACTTATGATACTTCAGAAATGGAAGGGATGTGTGTATATGTGTGCAAGGGGACAGTGAGAAGAGACATTTGGTTAGAGGAGAGGGGTCTGATGGGAATATGAGCCATAAAACCAAGTGGGGATCAGATTAGAAAAGGTCTTAGAATCTTGAGTACCAAGCTCAAGAATCTGAGGGAGCAACTAGGGGGTTTAATACACTTTTCAAGGCGGATTAATTTGGTGGAGGTGGCCTAATGGCATGGAGGGGAAGAGATGGAAACAGGGACACCACTTAGTAGGTATTTTGTTAATCCAAACTGGGGAGGGGAATGAGGGGATTGAGGGCTAGAACCAAAGTATTACTTAAAAGAAATGAAAGAATGGATAGGACATTTACATATTTAGAAGAGGGATCTGCAAAATATAGTCCTGGAGACAAATCTAGCCTGCAGCTTTTTTTTTTTTTTGTATATAAAGTTTTATTTTAACACAGCCATGCCCATTCATTTACATATTGTCTGTGTCTGCTTTCCAAATACAACTGTAGAGTTATATAATTTTGACGGATACCTTATGGCCTACAAAACCAAAACTATTTACTATGTGACCCTTTTAAAAACAAGTTTGCCAACCCTTTATTTAGAAGAAAGGATTATTTAAATTGAGTAGACAATTTATTACATTGGGACAAATAAGAGAGATATGGGAAACAAAAGTAAAATAGGAATCATTTTAAGTTAACTTGTTTCTATGCATGTAATGCTTGCAAAGGTCTTGGTAAAAGTCAAATGTAATTGAAATGTATATGTAATAGATATACATATAAACTTGAACTAAATAGGTACAGTAGATAATACATATTTAAGTCATGTGAGTAATAGTGCACACTGGCTGTCACTAACTTCCCTGAATGCTCTGTAGAAGGGATAGAAACAATGGGTTTAATGTCAGAATTAGAATATAGGCTGGGGCAAATACCATATTTTTAGCTGACAGAGAAGTGGATGAGATGTAAGTACAGGGAAGATACTTTTAGAAGGATTTTCCATTTTATCTGTGAACATTGAAATGAGCTGTAGGATCTATACAGCAAATAGTTTGGAATTTCTGTCTTCCTCCTGTGAAATAGTGATAGAGATAGAAAAGATAGACCAAAAAAATAAAAAATTAAAGCTTGATATGCAGAAAACACCTAGATTTTAAACAGGAAACACTATAAAAATATACCAGTACATTGGCCACTTACTATAGGTTAGACAGTGTGCTCTCCATTTTTTCATCTCATTTAATTATCAATATGTAAAGCCAGTGTTATTCTTCACTTACACAGAACGATTTTATTACCTGTGCAAAGTCTCCCAGTCAGTAAGCGATGAAGCCAGGATTTTAACCCACGTTTTCAATGTCAATGCTCTATTCAAACTTATTCATAATTCGAAATGGGTCTAATTTGGTTACTTTGAAGAATTACAGAAGAAGTAGATTTCTGTTCTTCATCTCTTTTGGTCACTACCATAATATCAACCAGTGTTTATGAAAGAATCCAGCCTACTAGAGAATATAAGTTACATGAAACAGTGAAGAGTCAAAGAATGGTAATGATTCTTAATTTGTAAACTATATGGGTTAAAATGTTAACTACTGCTATTAATAATCCACAAGTAAGGCTCATATGTCTGTCTAAAATATACAGAGTAGAAGTCTAGAAATTTAAAAATCAAGGTTACAGAATCCTTAGCCTTTGGTGTTTCTGGAAAAACTATATGTTTTATTTTGACATTAATATATATTTAAAATATTTTCCAGAACAGAGCATTGTCTTTGAAGTTATATACATTTTAGAAAATTGCATCTATGAAATGTGGGAAAAAGTATTGGAATATTTGGGAGGAAGATAATAGGTTAATTTTAAAGGTCAACAAAATGATAATGAATTTAATATATATATATTGAAAATGTAAATGTTACACATAATAAAATAAAATATTCTAAAAATGAAGATACATGTAGTGAAATGAAATATTTGGTTGTAGGTTACATATATTGGATTATTTAAAGTCCTAGGAGGGTTTTATTTTGTTAAGCAGTTTAAAAGTCCTTTGCAAACTTGTCAAATGTATATGTTTCTTTTCATATCCAGAGATATTTTTCATGCAACAATTGTAAAGGGCTACCTATGCCATAGTGCTGAAGTGAAAATATTAGGCATTTTTTTCATAAATAAAAGGAGATGTAGGAATGTGTATCTCTTTCATTGTTTTTACTTCAGGATAGATCTGTACTCAAATTCTTGTATTGAAGTCATTTTCCCCCCATCAAGCTAGGTACTCAAAAATCTAATAGGTGTGACATCAACAATTACTTCTCGCTAACAACTCTTGTAATTTAACCCCTTCAGGTGAGCAGGCTGATTGATGAATTGCAGACAGCTATCAAAAGCAACAGAGGTCATCTCTCTAAACTTGGCCCCCAATTACAGGCTGAGCAGGAGCAATTCTCCTCTTATGTCTACCAACACATTAAAAGCCTTCCAGCAAACACGCTTGTCCCAGGAGGCCTGCAGCTCAAGGTGGGTGTCATTCTGTGCCTCTCATTGGATTCAGCCAGAGCGGAAGCCTTCTGCTCCATTTGAAGACACTTATAACAATGTCACTTAGCTTGAATATTTTTTAATGTTGTCTTCCTCAAACTGGTAATATTACAAGTGGTAATATTATTCAGGAAATAGATTTTAACAGAAAATACCTAGAGGTCTTTGAAATGTGTATTTATAAGCTTTAATTAGTTTTCAATTCAGAAAAGTAATTGTAATGAAGGAATTTAATCATGTGAACATTTGCACGCTTTTCCAAGAAACAAAGTTTTCACAATGGTCATGGTATATTTCAGTTTCTAAAAATAACATTTGGAGAAATGGGCAAGCTTTAATAGTTGACAGACAGTGGCAATAGAAATTGAAGGTGAAAGGCCAGGTGACTGATTGATGTTCAAACTACATTTCCAAGGAAAAGGATCTGTATTGGATAAGTGTGACACATGTCTGAGTTCACTTGGTAAAATCAATACTTAAGAATATACTGGGAAAAAAGGTGAATTGGTTATTTGTCAGGACAAGATCGCTAAATGTCCTCGACTACTTTGCTATTGCATCTTTGTGAGAGATAAAGAACAACTCATATCTGGCTGAAGTGGTTTTGCTACTAAAAGCTTAGGGAATTTAAATACTTTTGATTTTCATAGCAGACATTCCATGTTAAGTTTGTCAAGTTAATGTTGTCCTATAATTTCATATTCTGCATTTCAAGAGATTGTAGTTAGTAAAATTTGAATTACTCAAAGTATGGCCTATTTCCATTTAAGAAATCATGGTTACTTCAACTCATCATTTCCTTTTGATTATTTTTGTGGGTAAGTGATAACATTAGAAGGAAATGATATTTTCATCAACTTTCATCTCTGCAATTCCTCTTTCTTAGTATTGTTTTATTCTGCAAGTAACATTAGAAACATTATATTTCTATCTATAACATTTCTTTTAATGACATTCCCGTGTGCATTTTGAGTGAGAACATTAGAATGTGAAAACGGACTTTTTGGGAAATGTAATTTCATGTTAAACATGATAATTTATTTCTCATAGTCTGCTAGTCAGCTAAGAGTTTAGGAAGTGATGTTCAAGACATCAAGGTCAAGGGTTTCTATAGTGCAGTAGCATTGTTCTTTTCCAGGTTTTTGACTTGATTATAAATCCATTCTGCAATTTTGCAAAGTACTTGCTATTGATTAAGAGAGAAAAAACCAGGTGAGGGAGAGTGGTTGTTTTCTAGAAGGATGCATTGCTAAGAAAAAAATAAAAAGGGAGGGGGAAGTGTAGTTGCTTTAATGGCATTCATCCTACTCATTTGTATCAGCAACGATTGATATGAACTACAGTGTGACCTGGGGAAAAAAAAGTGGTTTTTTTTCCCTGAAGTTCACTGCTTATTTCTGAAGAATTTCTATCACTTATACATATTAGCACATGGGCTGGGTAGCAAATACTTAACTTTAGGATCAGAATTGTCTCTCTCCTACATACTCCCTTCTTTGCATTTTACTTTTGTTTTTAATTATTTTTTTAAGTTCTGGGGTACAGATGCAGGATGTGCAGGTTTGGTACATAGGTAAACATGTGCCATAGTGATTTGCTGCACCTATCATCCCATCACTTAGGTATTAAGTCCAGCATGCATTAGCTGTTTTCCCTAATGCTCTACCCCCCACCCAACCTCCCCTGATGGGCCCCAGTGTGTGTTGTTCCTCTCCTTATGTCCATGTGTTCTCATTATTCAGCTCTCACTTATAAGTGAGAATATGCAGTGTTTGGTTTTCTGTTCCTCAGTTAGTTTCCTGAGGATAATGACTTCCAGCTTCATCCATATGCCTGCAAAGGACATGATCTCATTCCTTTTCATGGCTGCATAGTAATCCATGTTGTGTATGTACCACATTTTCCTTATCCAGTCTATCATTGGTGCACATGTGGGTTGATTCCATGTCTTTGCTATTATAAATAGTGTTGCAATGAACATACACATGCATGTATCTTTATAACAGAATGATTTATATTCCTTTAGGTATATACCCAGTAATGAGATGCTGGATCAAAAGGTATTTCCAGTTCTAAATCTTTGAGGAATCACCACACTGTCTTCCACAATGGTTGAACTAATTTACATTCCCACCAACAGTGTAAAAGTATTCCTATTTCTTTGCAACCTTGCCAGCATCTGTTTTTTCTTGACTTTTTAATAATCACCATTCTGACTGGCATGAGATGGCATCTCATTGTGGTTTTGATTTGCATTTCTCTGACAATCAGTGATCAGTGATGTTGAGCTTTTTTTCATATGTTTGTTGGCCACATGTACGTCTTTTTGTAGAGAAGTGTCTGTTCATATCCTTTGTCCACTTTTTAATGGGGTTGTTTTTTCTTGCAAATTTGCTTAAGTTTCATGTAAATTGTGGATATTAGACCTTTGTCAGATGGATAGATTGCAAAAATTTTCTCCTATTCTGTAGGTTGTCTGTTTGTGCTGATGATAGTTTCTTTTGCTGTGCAGAAGCTCCTTAGATTAATTAGATCCCATTTGTCAATTTTTGCTTTTGTTGCAATTGCTTTTGGTGATTTCATCAAAAAATCTTTGCCCATGCCTGTATCCTGCTTGGTATTGCCTAGATTTTCTTCTAAGGTTTTTATAGTTTTGGGTTTTTTGTATTTTTTTTTTTTTTTTTTTTTTTTTTTTGAGATGGAGTCTCACTCTGTTACCCAGGCTGGAGTGCAGTGGTGCGATCTCGGCTCACTGTGTTTGCCAGGATGGTCTTGATCTCCTGACCTCGTGATCCACCCGTCTTGGCCTCCCAAAGTGCTGGGATTACAGGCTTGAGCCACCGCGCCCAAGTTTTGGGTTTTATAGTTAAGTCTTTAATCCATCTGAGTTAATTTTTGTATAAGGTGTAAGGAAGGGATCCAGTTTCAATTTCCTCATTTGGTTAGCCAGTTCTTGCAGCACCATTTATTGAATAGGGAATCTTTTCCCCATTGCTTGTTTTTGTCAAGTTTGTCAAAGATCAGATAGTTGTAGGTGTGTGGCCTTATTTCTGGGTTCTGTATTCTGTTCCATTTGTCTACATGTCTGTTCTTATGTACCATGCTGTTCTTATGTACCATGCTGTTCTTATGTACCATGCTGTTTTGGTTACTGTAGCCTTGTAGTATAGTTTGAAGTTGGGTAGCGTGATGCCTCCAGCTTTCTTCTTTTTTAGTTAGGATTGTCCTGGGTGTACAAGCTCTTTTTTGGTTCCATATGAATTTTAAAATAGTTTTTTCTAATTCTGTGAAGAACGTCAGTGGTAATTTAATGAGAATAGAATTGAATGTATAAATTACTTTGGGGAGTATGCCTGGTTCAACATATGCAAATCAATAAACATAATTCACCATAGAAACAGAACTAGACAAAAACCACATGATTATCTCAAGAGACACAGAAAATGCCTTTGATAAAATTCAACATCTCTTTATGTTAAAAACTCTCAATAAACTAGGTATTGAAGGAACATACCTCAAAATAATAGGAGCCATTTATGACACACCCACAGCCAATATCATACTCAATGGGCGAAAGCTGGAAGCATTCACCTTGAAAACTGGTACAAGACAAGGATGCCTTCTCTCACTACTCTTATTCACTCCCTTTTAATGTGCTTTAAAATAGTTTCCATACCAGCATACAAAAGAGGAAATTTACATATGCAAAGAAGCCATGTTGTTGTGTTTTTTTAGATTCACTATGCTGTCTAGTAAAGTAGCCACTAGTCACTTATGGCTACTTAAGTTTTAATTTTAATTAAAATTTAATTTAGTTAAAATTTTAAAAAATATATTTTTCTAGTGGTTTCCCAGGACTTCCCTTATTTTAGCACTAAAAAGCCTGCATCCAGCAAACCAAGATGGTTAGTCAACCTAGTCTTTTCTCCAGAATTCTTTCTCCCACATCCCAGGCATTCTCTTTTTATGATTTTTTTTTCCCTATAAAGTACTGAGTTCCATTTGCTTCTGCTTCCTCTCCCCTCAGGTTTCTCCTTTGCAATGTCTAGCTTCTCTCAGAAAATAAGTTCCTCTTCCACATCTCAAGAAACCTGGATATCAGCCCCATCCTCAGGCTTAGAAAAATGATTTTCAATCCTGGCTACATGTTAGATTCTTCTGGAGTTGTTGTGTTTGTTTGTTTGTTTTTAAGATACCATGTTCCCATCCACAGATATTTTGACTTAATTGGTTTCCTGCGCTAAGACTAACTTCTACCAGCTTGCAGGCACTGATTAAGTTTTCAGGAATTTTGTAAGCCAGTTGTTTTATATAGCCATTATTTAAAAATCATATAAATTTACAGTGAAATAGGTCATACACTTCACTTCCTAATTTTAAAATTACATTTTACTATTACCTATTCTCTTGAAGTTATTTAGACCTATTGTGTTTGTTTAATGTATATACACTATATAATGGTGTGTGCTACCGTACGTTTCTTCCTGAGTTTATTTTCAGTGATGGCTTCTTGTATCTGAAAATTGACTGTGGTCAGAATAGTTATAAAATAGAAATTGGCAAATACTATAAATGAGGGCTTGATTTCATGTTTTATTGATTGTCTAGACTAGGGAGTTGAAATACCACATACTATGGGCCAAATCTGCCTGTTTTTCTTTTTGGTAAATAAAGTTTTAATGAAATATAGTGACACCTATATGTTTGTGTATTGTCTATGGCTACTTTGATATTATAGCAGAGTGGAGACCATATGACTTGAAAAATCTAAAGTATTTACTATTGGGTCCTTTAAAGAAAAGTTTGTGGATCTGTGGTCTAGATTTAAGTATGTGACAGAAAATATTCGCAATGCAGATTAAATTCAAAAGTGCAAAATTTCTGTGTGTTGCATTGTGAATAGCACAAAAATTGAAATATTCTTCCAGTATATGAAAACTATTATCTGATTCAGCAAAGAACTTGCCCTTGTCATTGAT